GAGGATTCCTGTATCAGCTGCATCAACTGGAACAATTTCCTGCTGTATGAATATTGCTTACCTGGTGACTGTGGCATGAAAATTGTCCCATTTATTAATGGTTCTATTTTCTTTATATCCATTACTTAAGCCCATTATCTAAAAAGCCTGCAACGTAATCACCCCTGTCATCTCCTCAGTCCAGCACAGCTGTCTTCTCCCTCAGGGTTTATGACATACTCAGGATGTGGCTGTCACACTGTCTCTTGCACAGAAATATATGGCTGTGTCCTCAGATCTCAGACTGCTCAACTCCATGAAGGCTGTGCTAATGGACGTGTCCCTGGTCATGGTGACTCTGCCCTGGAAATTCTGTGCATAGCTTGTGCCACCAGAGCTAGGGTTGATCCATCCCATCAACTCAAGCCCTTGTCCAGGGACCTGGCGCACCCAGTGCATATAGTAGCTTGTGACAGGAGACCTTCACAGACTCTCCAGGCTTCTTCAACTCAGCCCCAGACTGCACCAGCTGGACTTGGGAGTGGGCACCTGTGGAGAGGAGATGGGAGAGGATTAAATATTATTCTGATGGTGCCAGTTCCTTTTTCTTCCCTTAGACTGGTAAGCCCCTTACCAGTAGATGCTGAGACCAGGAAGAGGATTCTCCAGCTCCAGTCCATGGTGAGTGGCTGTTCTCCCAGGGGCCTCTGTAGGGGAGTGAATGATTGTTCTTAGAACACAGACATAACAGTATTTATCTCAGTAGACCTCAGATCATTTGCATATTCATGAGGTATAATACTTTATATAGTTCAATAACTATCTCAGCCTGAGAAGGGAAGATCAGTGACACGTGGGTCAGGCAGCAGTGCCATGCTGAGGGCCGAAGTCCTCATCCACCTTAAGGATACGCACCTCCTGCCTCATCTCTCATTTGTGTGCAAGCAGAGCTCCTCCCTTTGAGGAACAAGACCCCACATGACCCACATTTGAGTGGTATGGTGACCACCTGGATCATTTATGAGCCCATCAGTTTCTGATTTTCTGAGCAGTTGCTTTGACCCTGTTCTGGTCCCCTCCAGGCTCCAGAACAGCCCATTGGTAGCTCCAAGAGAGTGACCACTGGCCTTTCCACATGAGTGTCCAGCAGGGCCCACAGGTGGCT